GCGAGATTTCATTCCTACGCAACTCGTATTTAAGGCAGGGTGTGTAGGACATCTTGCACATCTTTGCCTTAAGTTTTGTTCTCACAGAGACACATATGTCTCAACATGATGCCATGACATCTTGTATTTCATGTTGTCTATAAAATTCTGCTAACCACTTGTAACATTAATGCAAATTTATTAGAAAATACGTCAAATATTATATCAAAGGTCATGTAGTATATTTAATAATAGATAAAAATTGACTACTTGAAATCCTTAATGTCAAACATGCTTTTAAATACACTTTAAGGCTAGGTCACACTTTTAGAAAGACCCGACTAGGCAAAAACCCCATAATAGACCAGGGTCAGAGCTTTAAATTTTATTGTAGGCTAGACTCAAGGTTCCTAAAGCATCTATTGACTTGGTTTATTCCCACCCCTAAAGGTAGTGCTTACGTCATCTAGAACACCAACACCAGGTCATAGACCACCGATAGAAGAGCAAAGAATCACAACCACTCCTAATTTGGCTAAAATCTCAATCAACTATTGATTAATTCAAATGATAAGGTTCTTAATCAATTTTGTGAATGTCCAAGAGTTCCTCACTAATTGACCCAAAAACCATTTACAAGCATAAAAAAATACTTATCCCCTCAACTTCTTTCACGTTTGTTGAAGAACAAAAAATAAAATCTCATTTTTGGCCCTACATATGGTCCAAACCACGACATTCTAGATCATAGAAAATCCCATCCTAGACTTTGCCCTATCTCATAAAGAATTGAAACTCTCAAAGAGATCACTAGAATTCCTAGAAAGAATTATCTACCACCTCATCCAATTGAAAACCTTAAACTAGACACTACTAACTAAGTTACAAGCAAGAAATAAAAGAGAAGTTGGCACAACAAAAACACCACATATATGACACATGGTAAGACTAGAGTCCATGATCACCTTTCTCTTGAATAGTTCATTTTTAGAGGAGAACCTATCAAGGAGATGCTGTCAAGAGAAAGAATGACCTTAAAAGGTGTCTAACTACCTTAAATGTGTGTGTGTGTGTGTGTGTGTGAGAGAGAGAGAGAGAGAGTTATAATAGAGAAGAAGTGGCTTGAAACAATAAAAAAAAAAACCAAAAAAGAATGATAAGTAGGACGCCAAGAATGCACTATTAATGATAAGCTTCCAAATCCACTTATAACTATTAAAGAAAAAAATATACTCTCAAATAATAGAGAGGAATTTAACAAAAGGTTAACGACGAAAGACCTCCTCCATTTAATTTCTCAAATTAGTGTCTCATCTACCCACCTACCTACTCTCCCACACTTCTATAAGAATAATAAGTGATCGTAAACCAGAAACAAATCTTTAAGGATATACTCCCGATTCAAGGATTCATCAAAAAAGATAATCTAAAATCCTAATCCAACCCTTTTTAAAATTATTTATTTACCAATTATACCGTATACTTAACGTAATATGTATTATTTTCAAAATGTAATAATTCACTTTACAATTTTGACAGCTAAAAACATAAATAATTTATGTATAAACAAAATATTTATTTATTTTATTTATCATATGTTTTTTAATCTGTGTTAAATTATCAATTACGATAAACATTGTTGAAAGAATTAGAGTATTTGAATTATATAATATATTGATTCAAATTTACTAATTAAATTTAAGAATCGTAATGTTACCACATGGGGCTAAATTAGCTTTGCAATACCCTAGAAGTTTGATTAGAATTTTACCCTTTATGCCAAACCAAAAGCCTGTGTTGCTTGCGTGTTAGCGACTTCATCTATATTTAATTCCTAAAACAATAACATTAATATATCCATAATTTACACATCACACAGAAAGCCAAATAAGACACAAAAACAACGCAATCTATTTTTATCTTATACTTAAAAAAACATGTGGTTGTTTTATATTAATTTTAATAAAGCAAAATATTGGCTGATTGACTTCAATCAGAGCCTGTGTTTTTTTGTTCATACAATAAGAAAAGATTTATAATCCATTGCTAAATTAAGCAATAATTTTTTTTACGGTGTTAACAACTTTTGGCTTCCCCAAAATTTTGCAAGCCATTAAAATTTAAAAAGTTATTAAGCCAAAGAAAAAATTGTGATAACCCTTTATATACCCTTTCAAACAATTAACAATCATAACATTTACTCTTGAGCTTTTTTTTTTTCCTTTGCTTTCTTTCGTTCTTTCTCTTGGTTAAAGGGAGAGAACGATTTACAATATTTCTTTTCTTTCTTCTTCGATTCTCAATCAATAATTGAAAATGGGAAACTGTGGTAGCAACCCTAAGACCAACGAGGGACCAGTGCCGGTGCCGTTGCCTGTGTCTGCAACTAAGGAGGTTAAGGCTGAGCGTGCAGTGGAAGAAACCCTAATTGATGAAATCAAGTCCCTAAAAACTTTGCTTAATGAGGTTATATTTTTTTTTCTTATAAAATATAACTTAACATTATAGTTATTCATTTAATATATACTTTAAAAATTATGCGATAAACTCGGTTAAATCGGTCGGTTGATAGCTGTGCAGAAATATTCGATGCATGCGTGCAGATTTGATTCCAAGACATCTAACTTATTAGAATTATTTCCTAATAGTATAAGTTTTATATATTTGCAGAATGTGGAGGAAGGAAAGAAGCCAGAAGTGAAGGCTGAGGCTAAGGAAGTGAAGGCCGAGCCTAAGAAACAAAATCATAAGAAAGAAGACTCAAAGGTTCAAGAGAAGCCAAAAACAACAGAAGAGGCACAAATTGAGGCTTTCTTTGCTAAGAGAGAGGGCTAGTATAGTTCCCAATAGAAAAATTTCTTGCTTTTCTGTTTAGTTTTCCAAAACAATTTGGTTTAGGTGGTTATGTGTATGTAATTGACAATTTTAATTTAGGATTGTTGATTCAAATATGCCTTTGTGTGAGTTCTTTTTTAATAGTTTATTGATAATTTTGTGACAAATAATTTGAAACTTTTAACTAGTGCTCGTTTTATCAAGAAATTTACAAAAAAAAAATAAAATAAATATAACTATTTCTAAGTTATTGATAATTTCAATTTTAATTTTAATGATTTCTAATATAATCAAATATGTGTTTAGAAAGAACATAATCAAATATTCTTATGCATCCATTCCGATTCATGATTACATCAAATAAGAATCTCACGTTCCAATTCCTTAATATCTTTACGCAGCTATTTTTTTTTCGTCGTTCAACATTGTGGTTATGTTTCACCATTTGTCTTCCTTTTAATTTTTTTAGGTTAAGCATATATAAAATAGGCAAAACATGAAAAGTGTAATATGTTTACGTTACTACAAATAATGTATTTTATGATAATAATTTTACCTCACATATCAAAAAACTGAGGTATAATTCTTCAATGCATCCTTTTTTTTTAAATACAATGTATTTCGTTGGTTATTTGAAAAATCGAGGAGTAAACTTATTTAATATTCATGCTTCAAATCTTAGCGATTTCAGTTTATGTTCTTAACTTATTAAAAGTGATGCCTTTACACTCCAAAATAAAACATTTGAGAAGGCGTCACTTTTATTGATTGTCTTTGTGTTTTGATGGCAACAATGTTAATGCTTGTTGAAGTCATTGATGATATCTTTCTAACTTTTTGATAATGGTTATCAAATTAAAGAGTTCTCAAGCCTCATCGAGTAAAACATTCAAGGTTCTAGTAAAATACTTATATGACTTTGTATCTGACAATAAAGTGTGAAGATTCATATTTGTGCAAGAGAGGAAGTGCGAAACCTTGCTTGATCATGTATTTCTGAGTGACCAAAGTCTTGTAAAAGATGGAGAGTAACTCATAAGCAATGAAGACAATTCACACACACACACACACACACATACACAAGCTTTAAGGAGCCTATCTTTCTTTTTTTAAATCACCTAAAAACCTTTATATATATATATATATATATATATATATATATATATATATATATATATATATATATATATATATATATATATATATATATATATATATATATATATATATATATATATATATATATATATATATATATATATATATATATATATATATATATATATATATATATATATATATATATATATATATATATATATATATATATATATATATATATATATATATATATATATATATATATATATATATATATATATACATATTCATCTCGGTTGAAAAGAAAATCGAGGTGAAAAGTGGCGTGCTTTAACACCAAAATAAAATATTTAAGAAGACATCACTTTTAATAAGTTAAGAACATAAACTGAAATCGCTAAGATTTGAAGCATGGACATTAAATAAGTTTACTCCTCGATTTTTCAAATAACCAACGAAATACACTGTATTTTAAATATAAAAAAATAGGATGCATTCAAGAATTATACCTTAGTTTTTTGATATGTGAGGTAAAATTATTATCATAAAATATATTATTTATAGTAACGTAAACATATTACACTTTTCATGTTTTGGCTATTTTATATATGCTAAACCTAAAAAAATTAAAAGGAAGACAAATGGTGAAACAAAACCACAATGTTGAACGACGGAAAAAAATAGCTGCGTAAAGATATTAAGGAATTGGAACGTGAGATTCTTCTTTGATGTAATCATGAATCAGAATGGATGCGTAAAAATATTTGATTATGTTCTTTCTAAACACATATTTGATTATATTAGAAATCATTAAAATTAAAATTGAAATTATCAATAACTTAGAAATAGTTATATTTGTTTTCTTTTTTTTTTTGTAAATTTCTTGATAAAACGAGCACTAGTTAAAAGTTCCAAATTATTTGTCACAAAATTATCAATAAACTATTAAAAAAGAACTCACACAAAGGCATATTTGAATCAACAACCCTAAATTAAAATTGTCGATTACATACACATAACCACCTAAACCAAATTGTTTTGGAAAACTAAACAGAAAAGCAAGAATTTTTTCTATTGGAACTATACTAGCCCTCTCTCTTAGCAAAGAAAGCCTCAATCTGTGCCTCTTCTGTTGTTTTTGCCTTCTCTTGAACCTTTGAGTCTTCTTTGTTATGTTTTTGTTTCTTAGGCTCAGCCTTCACTTCCTTAGCCTCAGCCTTCACTTCTGGCTTCTTTCCTACCTCCACATTCTGCAAATATATAAAACTTATACTATTAGGAAATAATTATAATAAGTTAGATGTCTTGGAATCAAATCTGCACGCATGCATCGAATATTTCTGCACAGCTATCAACCGACCGATTTAACCGAGTTTATCGCATAATTTTTAATGTATATATTAAATGAATAACTATAATGTTAAGTTATATTTTATAAGAAAAAAAATATAACCTCATTAAGCACATTTTTTAGGGACTTGATTTCATCAATTAGGGTTTCTTCCATTGCACGCTCAGCCTTAACCTCCTTAGTTGCAGGCACAGGCAACGGCACCGGCACTGGTCCCTCGTTGGTCTTAGGGTTACTACCACAGTTTCCCATTTTCAATTATTGATTGAGAATCGAAGAAGTAGGAAAAGAAATATTGTAAATCGTTCTCTCCCTTTAACCAAGAGAAAGAACGAAAGAAAGCAAAGGAAAAAAAAAGCTCAAGAGAAAATGTTATGATTGTTAATTGTTTGAAAGGGTATATAAAGGGTTATCACAATTTTTTCTTAGATTAATAACTTCTTAAATTTTAATGGCTTGCAAAATTTTGAGGAAGCCAAAAGTTGTTATTACCATAAAAAAATTATTGCTTAATTTAGCAATGGATTATAAATCTTTTTCTATTTTATGAACAAAAAAACACAGGCTCTCCATATTTTTTAAAAAAGAAAGATATGCTCCTTAAAGTTTGTGTGTGTGTGTGTGTGGATTGTCTTAGTTGCTTATGAATTACTCTCCATCTTTTACAAGACTATGGTCACTCAGAAATACATAATCAAGTGAGGTTTCACACTTCCTCTCTTGCACAAATCTGAACCATCACGATTTGTTGCCAGATACAAAGTCATATAAGTATTTTACTAGAACCTTGAATGTTTTACTCGATGAGGCTTGAGAACTCTTTAATTTGATGACCATTATCAAAAAGTTAGAAAGATATCATCAATGACTTCAACAAGCATTAACATTGTTGCCATCAAAATACAAAGACAATCAATACCATCAATATCATTAGTTCAACAACAACTGTATTAGCTCCATACTTGGAAGTACATAGATTCATGTTCACCCCCTTTTTTATGATGAAAACACATCTCTAAGGGAGGTGGTAAAATAGAAAAAGAGATCAATTTTAAATTTGTTAGACTTCCCATCACATGTGTCGAGATTATACTTTGCTCCTCATGACAGTATACTTCTCCCTCTATGGTATAATGAAAAAGGTGGAAAAAATAATATATCATTTATATCACATATAATAGCTTAGAGAAAGGGAGAAAAAATGAAATTGCATTATCATGTTTGTACTATTCAATTGTAATTTGTGTGTAGTTTTATGTTTCATTTGATATACATGTACCTTTGAGACACCTCTCCATTTATTCAATTAAAATTGAATCTGTATAAGTGTGTTTTTATTCTTTTGCAATTTGATGGAAGTTAAAATCTTAAGTGTTACTTGAATCTAAAGTTAGAAGTCTTAAATGAAGATTTTTAAAACTCTTGATTCAAATCAGAAAAGTTGTCATTCAAATCATAAACTTGTTTCGAAGTGAAATATTTGCCTCTTCCAGTCAGATTCAAATCAGAGAAGTTTGTGATTCAAATTAAAATGTGTTAGGTAAGAATATGAAGTAGAGAAATGGTCTAAAGGTATAAAAACAAACAACATACACTTATCTTCTATTCCGAACTACAGAGCTCTAATTTTCTCATTGCACTATGATGATACGTAGGTACAGGATTGTGGGATCTTGGCAAGCTCACAAATTTAAAAACTCTTTTTTCCCCTTTAGCAAGTAACTTTTAGATAATGACACCCATTCATGCAAAGAACAACCAAGATGGTTTCCGTTGAGTACACCGTATGTGAGGGTTGCTAATACATTCTCCTTGCATAACCGACTTTCGGACTTGAATTTGATTGCAACAACCATTTTCCTCACCTTTAGAGGTTTTATCGATATTTTCTCTTTCCTCAAGAATAAATAAAGTTCGGTGGCGACTCTATTTTTTGTAGGCCTAATTCTTTTGCTAGATTTTCCTCATTCTCCCCTAGGCTAGAAAACAAAAATCAAGTGCTTGATTTATCTATATCAACCACGAACATATCATTTGTGTTTCTTGATTTGGTGAGCTAGGGGTCACATTATAAACCTCACAATCCATTTCTGAGCCACACTTCTCATCGATTCAACAAAATTTGTAACAAAAAAACATCATTGTTGTTGCTTATAAACATATGGATTTAAGAGGCGGATACACATATTTATGAGTCTCTTGAATTTTTTACACGACTCGTTTGTGGGTTTGAAAAAAGGATAATTAATGACCAGGTTTTATGCCCCTTTTGGTAAAGGTTTAATCCCTTTTGGTTACTTACAACCTAGTTGTTTCAAACCTTGTGTGTGGCAGCAAAGGTCGTAAATATCACGATGGAGTTCAACTTCTTGTTCTTATTTCTCCTTCTGTAGCTACTAATGTTATTTGTGTCTCATTTTCTACTCAATAATTTTTAGTTAACTCATAAGAAACTCTAGGACAATGTTGTCCTTTTTTATGTCAACTCGTGAGCAACTACTATGAGTGACTCGAGAACAATGTTGTCCTTTTTTATTTTAATTCATGAGAAACTCCTACATTGTGGTGGCATTTTAATTAGTTATTGATAGTGGTAGAGCTAGATTGTAATTATGTTGTCATAACTAAATATTGGGTGCCATTTTTTATGGTCTAGAACACAAACTTAATGTATTACCACCAATGAATGAATGATAACCTAGGTTTTTTTTGGAAGTTGTTGGCTGGGAATTTTGACATCAAGAATTTTTTAAGAATAATAAATAAAAATCAAGTGTTTCTTGAGTTGTTGTCGAATTCGACAGGAGCCTGTTTTAGAATCCTAGTCGAAAAGGGTCTTCATAAAGAAGACATGCTAGAAAAATACTTAGAAATATTTTCTAAGTCTGGACAACAACTTTGACGGGGGGTGTATGTGGCTTCCCTTCGACAGAAGTTTGGAATTCAAAATATGAATAATAACTGTCTTTGTCCTGATCCATTTCTCAAGAAAGGACGCACGGAGAACTGTGGTGAGACGAAGACATGCAGAGTGCAACATGTCAATTTTTGAAGGAATATCCGTTGAAGACAATTATTTTCAACATATTATAAATAGGAGTCTTAGTGTTAAGATTTTCGTGTGTTCATTATTGTACAAATACTCAAAAAAAAAAAATCACTCAAACTATCTAAGTCAAGTGAGAAAAGAGTTTTCATTGAGAAATGTACGTTTGAAACACCATATTTATTTCAATAGAAATTTACTTTCAATTTACCATTTATCCCTTTTACTAAACTTTTACTTTGAAGTTTATCGTTATTGCAACTTTATAGTTTTGCAAGTTTATCTTTTCAAAACTTTTAAACATTCTTTCACAAGCATGAGCGCTTTCGAAGTGTTCTTGACATTTCCAGAAATCATTTTGACAATAGCTATGTCCTAAGAATTCACTGGTTGATCCTGCAAGTAAACCATTTTTCTTTTTAAAAATATTTTGCATAAGTTCTTCATTTTTACTATCTCTTTAAACTTCGTTGCATGAGACTTGGGAGTGGTAGAATAGCCACAAACAACGAAGACAGACCAAGGAGGAGATACGTAAGAAGCATGGTGAATCAAAATCCACCAAATAACTAAAATTCGTTAAACAATGAAGAACCACCCCCTTTGTCTTAGATCGGGAGAACTAAGGTTCCAGCGTCAATTTCGGAGCTAGTTCAATTCATGGCGTCTATAATGCTTGTGCAGTCAATTGCTCAAAGCGAACCCACATTATATTATATGGGAACGTAGGGTCCACCAGTGACCCTCCCTCTAGTAGGAAGTAACGTATTCAGGCATTATATGCCTAGATTTTCGATGTCTCCAATAAGGCATGAACAACTTTATGGCATACCTACATTGGTGATGGCGAGTTTACATAATTCATCATCAATGTTCTTAGACCCAATGGTGAATGCAACTTTGCCATTAGAATGATCAGGGTCAAGCGTTAACAACATGGGTCAAATTAGTCAACTCTTAGGGACAGGATTTTCCACCCAAATGCCTAATATCACCATCAATTCTGCAGCGGAGATAAGGTAGAAAATGGACGAGATCAATCATGAATGTTCCAGATGCTTTTCCAACAAATGGGTGTTATATTTAATCCCTTAATTCAAAACATTACCCTAACCAACCAACAATTGGCAGTGCAAATGACGTGCATTGCTGATTTCTTTGGTGTTTCTCAACCTCATCGACAGCCTCAAAGAGAATGGGTAAGAGAAAACCCAGGGTTAATCTTAGAAGAAGATCCCACAATTAACCAAGTCCAATGAAACACACCCCAGACAAATGTGGGGAACTAGGGAGTAGGAGTCAAACCATCTTGGGTCGAACCTCCTAGAATTGAGAAACAAATCCTAAGGGAACATAGGGTAGTGATGGTAAATAGAAACTAAAACGCCGATAAGGTCATAAATCCGGTTCGACGTGAGGACGTGTCAGCATATAATAACCTAGCATCCATGGTCGAAAGAATTATGGCGAGGAATGGTGTGAATATTGGTCTCCATAGGCCAAATTGTACATCTCCATTGTCGGAATACATTTTGCAAGAAGAATTACCCCTAGATGGAAAGTCCCCAAATTTACTAAGTTTTATTGGGATACTAGTTAGTCCACAGTCAAACACGTGGCAAGGTACCTAATAGAGGCAAATGAAATTGCTAACAATGAAAACCTAAGGATGAAATATTTCCCAAGTTTGCTTACCAAGAATGCCTTTACTTGGTTCACCATACTACCAACAAATTCGATTCACAATTGGACTTAACTGGAAAGGTAGTTCCATGAAAAATTCTATATGAGACAGTTGAAAATTAGTCTGAAGGAATTGGTCAGTATTAAAAGGAAATTCTCTGAGCCAATAGATGACTACTTGAACAGATTTCTCTTGCTTAAGGCCAGGTGTTTTACACAAGTTCTTGAGCATGATTTGGTCGAAATAGCCGCTGGTGGCATCGATTACTCAATTAGGAAGAAATTGGATACACAATACCTGAGAGACAGGGCCCAGTTTGCTGACAGAGTTTGACCGGTGGAGTGCCTAAAAGCTAAGAAAGTCAGGGCAAACAAGATTAATAGGAAAGGAAGGGTAGCCTACATCGAATTTTACGAAGGCAAATAAGAAATGAGTAGTGATCCTTTTTTCGATAAGGGAGAAATCGACCTTGCTGAACTAAAGCAAGTTCCACCCACCGTGAAATGGAAAAAATCCAATCAA